TGCATGACTGTAGAGATCAAAATCCTGATCTCTACATGTTTGCTTGAGGCTTGTCACTTTCTAGTAACCCTAGATTAGGTTAATCATTGCTTTACTATAGCTTTAAAACCTTGAAATTCCTAAAGGCATGATCTTTTGAATGTGAGCTAGGGACCCCCTGGGGTCTTCATTATTTTCTAGAAAGTAGAGAGGGGTGCAGAAAGATTTCAATGAGGCTTTTGGGCTGGAAGTCTTGGTCTATCCAACAGTTCCCCAGAAGCCTTCTTCCCATCCCTTGACCTCCCTGAGTCCCACTACTCTCCTCCGAAGAAAGAGATGATCATTTCAAGTTCCGCATCTTCCTCCACTCTCTACATCTCTCTGTGTATGCCAGGATGAAAAACCTATTGCATTTATTTGAGTACATGGCTTGTTTCTTCCCCAAATCCAACATACAGACACACACACACACATGCACGCACGCACACACACACACACACACACTAATCTAAATTAGCTATCCCTTTTCTTTGCTCCCACAACACCCTCTGATACTTCCTCAACACACCATTAATTAACCTGCATTATAACAATGTTTCTTATCTCTTTTATTCCCAGTCCCAAGCATACACACTATAGATTGTGAGATTCAAAGGCAGGTCTCATTTTTAACTAGAGCAAGTGTTTAGCACCTAACGGAGGTTCAATAAATCTTTACTAAATAAATGAAATGACAATATAACTAAAACCTAACGTGTGCTTCCCATATGTCAGAACTGTGCTCATAGCGTTTGGCATACAGTTACTCATTTAATGCTCACAGCAATCCCATGAGGAAACTATGATATCCCCATTTTGCAGATGGCAACACTGAAGCTCAACTTGCCCAAGGCCACAGGGCTGCTAAGAGGCAGATCCAAACCCAGGGTGATTCTGTCTGCTGCTCCTGCTTTGATGCTCACCCTTGCTATTGAAGCGTCCATTTCCTTCTTCATTTTATCCCTCATTCATTCCCCCACTGCTATGCTGGGAAGTTCAGTCCCAGCAGGGTTTACTCGGGATTGAACATCCTTCTGGGTAGTATTTTGAGATGAAAGGAGATGGAAAAAGGCTGTATCATGCAGTCATGCAGAGTGGTCTCCCTAAGAGTGCTGAGTAATGAGGAGTACACAGAGATAGGTTAAACTTTAGAGAAGAGCAGCTCGGGAACGTTTTGTACCACATGGAGAGCATTGGCAATTTATTTATTTATTTATTTTTGAAATGGAGTTTGGCATTGTCGCCCAGGCTGGAGTGCAGTGGCGCGATCTTGGCTCACTGAAAGCTCCGCTTTCTGGGTTCAAGCAATTCTTCTGCCTCAGCCTCCTGAGTAGCTGGTATTACAGGCACACACCACCACACCCAGCTAATTTTTTTTATTTTTAGTAGAGATGGGGTTTCACTATGTTGGCCAGGCTGGCCTCAAACTCCTGACCTCATGATCCGCCTGCCTCAGCCTCCCAAAGTGCTGGGATTACAGGTGTGAGCCACCACATCTAGCCACTAGTGAGTTTTAAGCTCTCCGTCATGGACTGACCACCCGCCAGGCCCTCCTTCCTGGGGCATGGCCGTGAACCACAAGTGTGCCCTGTGGATGCACCAGGGTGGACCAGCATTGCTGACCTTGGCCAATCCACGCAAAGTGGGGTGTGAGGGTACAATAACAAGTGCACACTTAGAGTTGTGCTTACCCAGTTATGATCATTTAAAAACAGGAACCATTGACTCCAGTCACTCAGTACATATCGATTTTTCTTTGCTTTTCAAATCAACAACACTGTTCCATGTCCCATAAACACATTATCCAGCGTTAACATCACAATGGACAATTTTCATAAATTATTCCATTTAGTCCTCAGACTGCTCCTAAATTGATGTTCCTGTTCTAATTTCATAGACACAAGGAAATAAAACCTCAGAGACGCTAAGCAATTAACCTGTCTAAAGTCACACAGCTGGTGCGTGGCAAACCTAGCCTTCAAACCCCAAAAGTTGACACTCTAGAGCCTCTTCATAGAGAGAGGGGATGTGCCTGTTCCCCGAGACCAACAGATCTCTGAGAGTAAGTTTCTGCGGACGGCAAACCTTCAATTTATCTTAATTTTTTCCTGATGTTCTACAGTGTCACTGCTGATTTATTCCATCATTCTGGAATTACTGGCTAATAGGATGGCCCAGCTCACCGCTCTGGTTTGCGTTTTCATTCTTTACGAGAAACCAACCATTGATAGCAACGGGGATGTGTCTCGACAATTTAATTACTCCATGACTCCCCTCTCTCCCCTCTCTTCCTTGTTGGTATCGAGGCTAATTCCTATTTCACTTGCTCTGAAAGACATGATTGGTTTCGGCAGAGAGGGAAGACTTACCTGCTTTAGGTTCTCCGAGGCATAAAAGGGCCGGACAGCCCCCGCGTTGGGGGAACTCTGAAGCTTTTTGGTGGCTGGAAACTTGGTCATCTTAAAAATCGTTCAGGCTTTTTAGCCTGCGTCTCCAAGGCAAGGGTTTTTCTAGAATCTTCTACTTCAGCAGCCACTGCTATGAGAGGTTCCGGCAACTTCTCCTTGATCCCCAGGTCCCAATTACACGAATTCCAAAACGGTTTCCATCTGAGAAGTAATGAGAAAGCACCTGGGTCTCCCACAGACGGGATAAGGAAGTCCGGTTAGAGCAGAATAAGGCGAGCCTGGGATTACTTTTTGAAAGATTATAAACTTCTGTAAGCTTCCTCGTCTTCGGAAGGGGTATCTTCCTTTTCTATAAGCAAAATAAATATGAACTAAAAAACATAAAATTCCAGCGACAAAGTGTGCGGGAGAGTCCCATGGAGGGTCTCCCAGATCCCCATCCTCCAAGAGCGCCCGAGAACTAAGGCGGCCCTAAAGAGGGGCTTATCGCTCTGTGGGGAAGGTAGGCAACTGCTAACCCCCGCGGGGGGCGGGGGAGAGACACGTGGTTGCTTGGCAACGGGACGCCAAGGAGAGCTTCCTCATTGGCTGGAATTGGTGGGGGCGTGGTCGTGGGGGGTCGTGAACTCTCCCAGGTTGCTGGGACGCCGCCGGCTCTCAGCTGCCTGATGAGGCCCGATGCCCCCGAGCCAGCCGCATTCTCTGGACCAACTGGTTTCTCTTTTCAGGCCTGAGGACCATACACTTTCTCTCTGACTACAAGCGACTCCTTGCTTTCAAACTCTGCTCTGTCCTACTGCTAACCCACTAGTGATTTTTGTGCCGTGGGGTGGGTGGCCTGTAATCCTGTAATTCTTAACCCTAGATGCCTATTTCTCCCGTTTTTCCACCTGACAAACTCCTATTCATCCTTCAGAACCCCTTCATTTTATAAAAAGAAATACTGGTATTTCAGCCGGTGGAGTCCGAGGCGGGCGGATCACCTGAGGCCAGGTGTTCGAGACCAGCCTGGGCAACATGGCGAAACCCCGTCTCTACTAAAAATACACAAAAATTAGCCAGGCATGGTGGTGTGTGTCTGTAATCCCAACTACTCGAGAGGCTGAGGCAGAATCGCTTGAACCCAGGAGGCGGAGGTTGCTGTGAGCCGAAATCGCGCCATTGCACTCCAGCCTGGTCAACAAGAGCGAAACTCCATCTCAAACCACCACCACCACCACCACCATCACCACAAAAGAGACTCGCCTTCAAGAATCTCACGATGTATATTGTGTATGTTTGGGCTGGAGAACAAAGGATAAGAAATACTGTTATAAAGCAGGGTGATTTATCATAGGGTATTATCATAGTAGGGTAGTATCATAGGGTAATGTGGGAGCAAAGAAAAGGGACTGCTATATATAGATATATGCACATGCATATACATATACACACAAATGTGAATATACATATATACACATGTATATGTGTGTATAGATGTATTTGTATGTGGAGGCATGTGTACACATGACATTTATTAAGGGCTTAGGATGTGCTAGACACTGTTCTAAGTGTTTTACACATATTGACTCAATCCATACAGCACCTCTTTAAAGAAGGTGTTTTATTACCCCATTTTACAGACTAAGCAACTGAGGCATAGAGACATTAAATGACATGTTTAAAGTCACACAAGTGCTGCAGCTGAGATTCAAAGCCAGGGTGGTTTGAGTCTAAAGACCAAGCTTGTAAGCACTTAGATGCCTAACTTTGCTGAGTTTGGCTTCTATGTCTTTAAAATGGGGATAATAGCTTTGCCACAGGTTGTTAAGAATTGAAGTGGATAATGCATATGAAGGCTGAGCCCATGGGGCGTCCTAGCTAAGTGGTACTATTATTATTCCCTGACATCACGTCCCTAGGAAGAATTAGGCATTCTCACCGTGCAGGGTTCATTTCACAGCAGATGTTAATACTAACTGATATTTATTGATCACTCGCTCTGTGCTTGGTACTGTACTAAGCACTTTGAATACATTAATTCATTTAATCCTTCCAATAACCCTATGGGGTAGGTTCCCAGCCTGCAGCAGATTTATTTCCCATGTTTGGATTTGAATGCCTTAGCCTTGGCATTGTTTCACACTGGATTGATCTGATTCATGTTTTATCCCTCAACCTTGAGCTGCTGGGGATTAGGATATCATTACGGCCTCTCTCTTTCTTTCTTTTTTTTCTTGAAGCAGAGTCTTGCTGTGTTGCCCAGGCTGGAGTACAGTGGTGTGATCTCAGCTCACTGCAACCTCAGCCTCCTGGGTTCAAGCAATTCTCCTGCCTCAGCCTCCTGAGTAGGATTACAGGGGCGCACCACCAGGCAGACCCAGCTAATTTGTGTATTTTTAGTAGAGACAGGTTTTCACCATGTTGGCCAGGCTGGTCTCAAACTCCTGACCTCAAGTGATCTGCCCGCCCCAGCCTCCCAAAGTGTTGGGTTTGCAGGCACGAGCCACAGCACCCAGCTCGTTTATCTTCTCTGTAGAAGGTATCTACTGCAAGATGATACTCTACAGAACGCAAAATGCCTAGCCATGTAGCTCTAGATACTGATGGCCGAAAGTCATTATTTTCTCACCATTGCCTGAAGACTAACCCTGACCTTCCCTTTCACAGGAAGTTTTGGTTTTCCTGCTTCCTTTGTGGGCAGCATTAAGCAATCAGCAGACACCTTCAGAATGAAGCAGGTAAAGGAATCATGTTTGGGAGATAGGGCTGGGGATGAGGGGATGAGAAAATAAGACAGGATGGGAAATGATCAGCCCTGAGCAGAACAGACAAAAGCTGTCTTCATATGGTTTTGTAGAACAGCTTGGCAAAGAGGAATTCAACTAGTTTTGTATTCGCTCAAAGAATAGGAGGAGGGTTTGGGTTCAATAAGAAGAAATGTGTACACAGCAGAACATAATTTTAAAAGGTGTGACCTCTGGAGTCCAACTGACTTAGCCACTGAGCACTTTCAATGATCATAATTCTCATAGGACTGTGATGAAAACCAAATGGGATAACTCATGCATATAAATAAATATATGCATAATAATTTTTGTTATAAACAATAATAAACATTAGCTCTTATTTCTTTTGTCATTGTTATAATACTCACCTGTCAGAGCCACGTGAGAACTGTAAATAAGAAGGGCTCTAGAACTGAAAAGACCTGCATTCAATTCCTGGTTCTGCCATTTACTGCCAATAAGACCTAAGTCAAGTTCACTTCTCCAAGCTTCAGTTTGATCATGTGTGTAAAACTCATGTGTAGTGAATGGTTATGCCCATTTTATACCTGTTACTGGGAGGATGAAGCAAAATAATAAATTTCCCTTCTCTAAGAAGGGGTATATTCCTTAGAGAGGGGATGAACTCCCCAGCACTGGAGGTGTTCAACTAAATGTTATATGGCTTCTTGGATTTTGATCACTTGGGGGTGTTAGGCCAGATGACATTTAAGCTTCTTTCTAAACCGAGATTGACATATGGAGTAGTTGAGCAGCTAGTTGAACCAGAGTCTAAATCCCAGTTCAGCCACTTAGCAGCTGTATGACTTTAACTTGTCTGCTCAAAGCTTTGATTTTCTCATTATAGAATGGAGATAATAGTACATTCATGAAAAAGATATCATGTACATGAAACATTTAGTATAGTTGGCACATAATAAATCCTCAATAAATGTTAACTTTTTAAATCGTATGAACAAAAATATTTTCTAGAATGATTTAATGCTTTTGGGGGCCACCTAGAGGTAATAAGAAAAGCTCTTTGGTCTTATGGCATCCCCCAGTCTAGCTCTAGCTGGGTGGAGAAGAATCTCTCTTTCTCTCTTCCTCTCTCTCTCTTCCTCTCTCTCTCTCTCTCTCTCTCTCTCTCTCTCTCTCTCTCACACACACACACACACACACACATGCACACACACAAAATGAAACAGTATACAAGGTGTTAATTGGGATCCTCCAAGAAGATGCCAGAATGAGATTAGATGTGTTAGGGATTTATTGAGGAAAATGGTTGCAAAGGATCAAGGGGAAGGAAGAAGGAGTATACAAGGAAAGTCTGTTGAAGAGGAGAAAGCAGAAAGGACTGAGTGGGAAAAGCCAGCACTGAGACACAGTTCTGAGAGTCTCAGCCAGGCTGACAAGGAGACCCTCAGCCAAAGTTGCCCAATACATGAATCTCCCACGGGGCAGGAAAGTCCTCTTTCTAGGACCCCTATTCTGCTCACTGATTAACTAGGAACAGCTGGGTGTGGGATGTACACAGTGGATTCAAAGATGCAGCATCTGTCAATCAACTATGTTCCCTGCAGCATTCTCTTGGTGAGACATCTGAGCCGGAGATGTCCATGGTCCTTCCAGGTCATCTTTTATGCTGTATAGATTCACTTTAGAATGCATGTCCAAGGAACAATCCTTCCCTCCTGGCTCCTGCGGGCATCCTTTCCTGACAGGAAACTTAGATAAGGGAAATTCATGGGACAAACTATAGTCTGCATCACTGCAACTGGCATTGGGGCCGAAATTGGTGTTTGTTCTTCTCCTCCTTCACTATACATTCTAAATCCCCCCTCACCCTTAGCTTGGTCCTGTCGACTTAGGTAGTGGAGTGACCAAAATCTTTATTCCTGAGAATTTTCTTTAAGTAAATCTGCTCTCCTCATTGTCTCAGGGTTGTTGCATGTATCCATTCTTACTTAAAACTGATCAACAGAGTACTCACTAGGAGGCACCCAAGTGGATCTCATCCAGGTTCCATATGTATTCCTTCCTGCCTCTATCTGTATAATCACTGATCAGAGTCAATTGTCCTTGCCAAAATTGTGACTCCTTACCTACTGGTTCCTGGACATAGGAATTCAAAGTGTCTGGTGGCAACTGTAGCTAAGAGTTAATACAAATCCATGCTGTGTCCCCTGGCAAGAGTGTCCCCACTTTGGGAACTTGGACCTCTCACCCTGCAGAGCCCAGAGCTGCAGAAATGGAAAGGACACACTCCCTCAGTGGCTTATTGGGTGTGAGGGCAGTGGCACCGCTCCTGGTTCCACTTATTGGTTCCTGGATCTCTGACGTTCCCGGATCTGGGGTTCCTGGATCTTGGTTCCCATTGGAAACACAACGTTGTATAGAAGTCTGATTTGATGTATATGCTTCAAACTATAGAATAGGCTATTCTTGCTTCAATAGACTGATCCAGAACTGTGTGACGCCAGCTACTTCTGGGTAGTGTGGTATGTGATACTGCTGGATCCCATGACCACTGTGAAGGAGATTTCTAGTGCTTAGAGTTTCCATGGGTATAGAGGGGCAGTGATGGTGGCAGACACTGTCAGAATCCAGCTCATGCTCCCTTGACACTCACAGTTCCTAAGGACAGCCCATTGTTGCCATTTTGCCTGAGACCTTCTTCTGGCTACAGCAGAAGTTTCCAAACTTTTGTGGCTCTTGGCACCCTTTACTTCCCAGTAATTTTTTTCACACCCCCTCTAAGCCAAAAGAAAACTTATTGAGAATCCCATTTATGAAGTCATTAGGTCTGCACAGCTTAGTATTTATATCCTAGTCATGTGAAAAATAATACACACGAGTGGAAAGAAAATAATATTTGTATTTGATTCTTTCATTTTTAGCATATGTGCTGCTGAAGCGAGCACAGTATTTGCTTTTTAAGTAGCAGCCACTGCTTGCCAATGGGGCATGTGCACCTGGCGGGCGCTGCACAGCTTCTCAAACCTTGGAATCAGTTTGGACGCCATCACCATCATTTTCTGCAGTACATTAATTTTTGTGCAGTTCTCACTTTTTTAGCACAGAAACTGCCCCAAATCCAGCTTTCTCAAAGATATTTCATGAAAAGAATGTCGTGGAATCTACTGTTGAAACTGAGTATATTAGTCAGCTCAGGCTGTCCTAACAAAGCACCCCAGACTGGGAGGCTTACACAATGGGCATTTATTGTCTCACAGTTTTGAGGCAGAAGTTTGGGATAAGGTATCGGCAGGTCTGGTTCCTTCTCAGGCCTCTCTCCTTGGCTTGCCAAATGCTGCCTTTTCCCTGCGACTTCACATGGTCTTTCCTCCACACCCATCTGTGCCCAAATCTCTGCTAAGGACTCCAGTCCTGATCAAGAGAGTACTTACCAGAAGGCACCCAAGTGGATCACTCAGGTTCCGTATGTATTCCTTCCTGCTCCTATCTGTGGAATCACTGATCAGGGTCAATTTTCCTTGCCAAAATTGTGACTCCTCTTCACCTGCTGGTTCCTGGACACTAGGGGTTCAAAGTGTCTGGTGGCAACTGTAGCTAAGAGTTAAGACAATCCTTGCTATGTCCCCTGTCAAGAGTGTCCCCACTTTGGGAACCCGGACCTCTCACCCTGCAGAGCCCAGATGAGGGCCCACCTTCATGACCTCATGGTAACGTCATGACATCTGTAAAGACCCTGTCTCCAAATAAGGCCACCTTCTGAGGTCCTAGGGGTTAGAACTTCAACATGTAAATCTTAGAGGGGCACAGTTTAGCCCACGACACTGAGCTACGTTCCACATGGCATTCAGTAGATGTTGCCCTGTTTCCCTCAAAAATTAAAAATACCTGTAGCCTCTTCTGTGAATTTGCTGTGGCACTCTGGGGCACCTTGGTACACAGTTTGGGAACCACGGGGCTATAGGAATGCATTGTGCCTTTGAACAGAGCAGGCTAGAAGTGCAAGAAGGTAACACCCATGGGAATAGCCATAAAGCAACCACTAATGGGAGTTTGTGGATGCAAACTCTGCCTCCTCACCCCTCAGGTAGGACAACTCTGGAGTCTGGTCAACACTGCCCCAGTGGTCCCCTGCAGGACTGACTTGTAGGAAACGCCACTGTGTACGTGGCTCCTCCACCCAAATACCCCACACTGGCTTTCTTCCTTTTCTTGTCTCCTTTCCCCACTCCTCTTCTGGTACTTCCGGGATGGCCTCCCAAGAAACGACTTACATCCAAGCTGCTTCCCTGGGTCTGCTCCTGGGAAACCCAACCCAGGTTAGTGTTGACTGAAATAATCCAGGGAGGTCAGACCTGAGTGAGGCTCTGAAGCAGAGCTCGCTGTCAGGGCGCCTGAATTTTTTCCTCTCACCTTCCTTTGATCACCTCGTTCCACAATCTCCTTCTTATCATTGCTCTCAAGTTTATCATAAAGAGTTTCTTGATATTCTTCACCTCCCTTAACCACTGAGAGGCCAGCGTATTTTCAGATACATAAATACATCCCCCAACAGTGAAATATTTGACAACCGAGATAGGAAGTGATTGTTTAATGCTTAATTCCTGGTTGATTTATGCAACATATAAACTGAAGGACAAGAAGCGACAGGCATTCTCTCTTCCCAGTTTGCCAGAAAGAAAAGTATCTGCAGAAATTAAAAATAGACATATAAAGTAGAAGAAAAATTTTGGAATGTGTCAGACGCCAGCTGGGGTAGCTGAAGAGAAAGCTTGAAATCTGGTAAACACTTGAATTTCAGTCAGTAATACATATGTTTGGCATTAAAAACTTATTGGAAAAGTCATCATTTTTGGAATATCTTTAATATGCTTTTTTGTATGTGTTGCACCTAGCACCCAGAAAACTCCTTCTGGGTATTTTTACTGAAATGTCAGCACTGGATTTACAAATTATGGGGCCCAGGGCAAGAGCAAACCTTGGGGCTCCCTAGACACCTGGTAGCTGGCAATCTATTGAAGAACTGCTTCCAGGTTGAAATACCACTGGATAATGTGTATTTGTACCACCTCACGGATTCCTGTCCTTCGTTAGATTAGAGAATTACCGCATGCTACGGTGCCCCTTGTGGGGTCTCTGGGCCCACATCCCATTCCTACTCCGTCCTCCAAACCACAGCCCCAGGCGAGAGAGGAATTTGGATCTTTGAGAACGAAGAGAAGAAAATGTAATGCTAACCTGCCTCTACTCTCTTTTCTTTTTTACTTTGCTATGTCTGGTGTATTAGTCAGTTCTCACACTGCTAGAAAGAAATACCTGAGACTGGGTCATTTATATTAAAAAAAAAAAAAAAGAAAAGAAAACGTTTGTTTAATTGGCTCACAGTTCTGCAGGCTGTACAGGAAGCCTGGCAATATCTGCTTCTGGGAATGCCTCAAGAAGCTTTTACTCATGGTGGAAGGCAAAGTAGGAGCAGGTGTCTTACATGGTGGGAGTAGGACTGAGGTAGGGGTGGTGCCATATACCTTTAGACAACCAGGTCTCATGGGAACTCACTATTGCGATGACAGCACCAAGAAGAGATGGTGTTAAGCCATGAGAAACTGCCCCACGATCCAGTCACCTCCCACCAGTCTCCACCTCCAACACTGGTGATTCTAATTCTACAGGAGATGTGGGTGGGGACACAGATCCAAACCATATCAGCTGGCCCAGGAGCAGAGGAAGAAGTGTGGCTCCAGGAATATTCTTAGCAAATATGGAGTCCTACTGGAGTCTAGGAGGGGGTCCAAGCTACCTCCATGAGTAATGTTTTCCATTTTTGTATGTTTCAAGCTGCAGTGTCCTGGGAGGAAGGCCAGATTGGATTTATGGAACTATTAATCCCATGTAGACATTGAAGTAAGCTCTGGCATGTAGTAATTTGTTAGTGGTGGAGGTTGTCTAAGAACCTGTTTTTTCAATTCCAAACTTAGTGATTTATTTCAGCACTCTGTCACACTGTCTTAATGTTCTTTTACTTAAAGGTGTGTGTGTGTGTGTGTGTGTGTGTTTTGTTCAGCAGAAGAGCCTGAGATTACTTCTGCAAGTAACCAAGAAATGAAGACAATTGGGATTTCCAAGCCATCTGGAAGACGATCTTCTACAGCTTTCTGGAAGAAGTCTTGACTTTAACATCCAAAGAAGACACCTCAAGCCCCAGTCCTAGGTCGGAAGGTACCTCCCTCCAAGTATTCCCATGAATTTCCAAGTAGCTCACAATGTCCTGTTCAGTGTGCCTTCTAGCCAGTTTCCTAACTGCATACGTACAATGATATCACTCTGAAAAAGGTATGTTCGAGTCTTCAGCCCCAGTGTCTGTGCCTGTGACCTTATTTGGAAATAGGATTTTTGCAGATGATCAAGTTTTGCAGATGAGGTTATCTTGGATTAAGATGGGCCCTAGCCCAGTGACTTATGTCTTTATAAGGAGTGGGAAATTTAGATCTAGAGACAGGAGACACACAAGGAGAATGCCAGGTGATGATGGAGGCAGAGATTGGAGTGATACGTCTACAAGCCAATAAACTAACAAACAAAACAACTTCAACAAAAAACAGTAACAGGCTGGGCACAGTGGCTCACTCCTGTAATCCCAGTACTTTGGGAGGCTGAGGCAAGTGGATCACTTGAGGTCAGGAGTTTGAGACTAGCCTGACCAACGTGGTGAAACTCCATCTTGACTAAAAATACAAAAGTTAGCTGGACATGGTGGTGTGTGTCTGTAGTCCCAGCTACTCAGTAGACTGAGGTGGGAGTAATCACCTGAAGCCGCGAGGTGGAGGCTGCAGTGAACTGAGATTGTACCACTGTACTCCAGCCTGGCGACAGAGTGAGACTCTGTCTCAAAAACAAAACAACCAACCAAACAAATAAACAAAAATCCAGTAACAAAAGCCCACTAAAATTTGCCAACAAATACCAAAAGCTAAGAATAGGCAAGAAGAATCCTTCTCTAGAACCCTCAGAGAGAGAGAGAGTACAGCTCTAGTGATGTCTTGATTTTGGATTCTAGCTTGAGAACCAAGACAAGAAATGTCTGTTGTTTTAATCCACATAGTTTGTGCCAATTTGGTTACAACAGCCCCAAGAAACGAATATACCACTCCTCTTGGCTGCAGCTTCATTCCCCTCTCCACCCCAATTTATTTATGCCCTCAAAGTGCTATTTTCCAAAGGTGGTGTATGGTAGGATTTTACTGGAGGTTTGGGATAACAGAGGAGAACTGCAGCACAGCTCTGCATAGTCAGTAACTTAAAATTAGATATGAGGCATCACTGAATTTTCAATTATGTAAAAATAAAGTTCCTGGGGGATTCTAACACACAGGTAAGGGTAAGGAACTTACAAATATGCTATTTGTAAGCTGCTTTTTCACATAAGATATGAACACCTTCCATTTCTATAGATGTATGTTAAATGTGGCTCTTAAATGAGTGCTTGCTAAAATGGATTCCAGTTTAAAACTGTCTGACAGCTTGTTCAACTGGCTCCTCATTACTGGACAGAAAATGGTCTATTTTTTATTTTATTTTACTTTAAGTTCTGGGGTACATGTGCAGATCTTGCAGGATTGTTACATAGATATACATGTGCCATGGTGGTCTGCTGCCTCCATCCCCCTGCAACTTACATTAGGTATTTTCCTAATGTCCCTCCCCAATCTCCCCACCCCCTGCTATCCCACCCCTAGCCCTCCACCCCCCCATCAGACCCCAGTGTATGATGTTCCCCTTCCTGTGTCCATGTGTTCTGATTGTTCAACACCTACTTATGAATGAGAGCATGTGTTTGTTTTTCTTTTCATGGGTCAGTTTGCTGAGAATGATGGTTTCCAGATTCATCCATGTCCCTGCAAAGGACATGAACTCATCCTTTTTTATGGCTACATAGTATTCCATGGTGTGTATGTGCCACATTTTCTTCATCCAGTCTATCTTTGATGGGCATTTGGGTTGGTTCCAAGTCTTTGCTATTGTAAACAGTGTTGCAGTGAAATACATGTACATGTGTCTTTATAATAGATCGATTTATAATCCTTTGGGTATATATCCAGTAATGGGATTACTGGGTCAGATGGTATTTCTATTTCTAGATCCTTAAAGAATTGTCACATCATCTTCCACAATGGTTGAACTAATTTATACTCCCACCCGCAGTTTAAAAGCATTCCTATTTCTCCACATCCTCTCCAGCATCTGTTGTCTCCAGATTTGTTAATGATCACCATTCTAACTGGCGTGCGATGGTATCTCAATGTGGTTTTGATTTGCATCTCTCTAATGACCAGTGATGATGAGCATTTTTTCATATGTTTCTTGGCCACATATATATCTTCTTTTGAACAGTGTTCATATCTTTTGCCCACTTTTTGATGGGGCTGTTTGCTTTTTCTTGTATATTTGTTCTAGTTCTTTGTAGATTCTGGATATTAGCCCTTTGTCAGATGGGTAGCTTGCAAAAATTTTTTCCCATTCTGTTGGTTGCCAGTTCAGTCTAATGATTGTTTCTTTTGCTGTACAGAAGCTCTAAAGTTTAATTAGATCCCATTTGTCTATTTTGGCTTTTGTTGCCATTGCTTTTGGTGTTTTAGTCATGAAGTCCTTAACGATGCCTATGTCCTGAATGGTATTGCCTAGGTTTTCTTCTAGGGTTTTTATGGTGTTAGGTCTTATATCTAAATATTTAATCCATCTGGAGTTAATTTTTGCATAAGGTGTAAGGAAGGGGCCCAGTTTCTGCTTTCTGCATATGGCTAGCCAGTTTTCCCAAGACCATTTATTAAACAGGGGATCCTTTCTTCATTGCTTGTTTTTGTCTGGTTTGTCAAAGATCAGATGGTTGTAGAAGTATGGTGTTAATTCTGAGGCCTCTGTTCTGTTTGGTTGGTCTATATCTCTGTTTTGGTACCAGTACCATGCTGTTTTGATTACTATATCCTTGTAATATAGTTTGAAGTCAGGTAGCGTGGTGCCTCCAGCTTTGTTCTTTTTGCTTAGAATTGTCTTGGCTATGTGGGCTCTTTTTTAGTTCCATACAAAGTTTAAGATGGTTTTTTCCCATTCTGTGAAGAAGGCCAAGGATAATTTGACAGGGATAGCATTGAATCTATAAATTACTTTGGGCAGTATGGCCAGGAAATGGTCTGTTTTTTATCCTTACTCTACCCTGGGCAGTATCTTGAAGATATGATGATATTTTATTGGTTTTGGAGCCTTGAGATAGACTTTAGCTCAATGTCTACACCTGTGGACATTGTAGGTGCCTAGTGCCAGTACATATAGCCAAAACCTCATGTAGCTGTCATTTACCACTTTTGCTGTTCAGAATCTACACTTCCATTGGAGAACTGGTCCCATCCTACTCCTATAATGGGATTCTTGTGAGGGTCACAGGAATGAGCTCATCACCTAAGTCCATAGAATAGGAAACCCTATTTCCTCCTGACTACAGTGACTGCATCAGGAATAAGAATGTCACCCAAACTGGGCCAATCAGAATTATCTTCTAGATAATTTTTTTGTAAGACAGTCAAATGAGGGGGACATCCTTTCAAGTCATGGAACTAGAGAGATATGAACTGGACTCTGTCTGAGGTGTGTGCCATAAAGAAAAGCCTTTCTGTTAGAGAGAAAGCAGATTGAAGAGAGAGACTGAATTCTAATGAAATGTGTTTGTGTGCCTGAATCCAGGTGGGCTTGAGGCTAGCACTATCCCCAAATTCCATTTATGTGAGTCCGTGAACACCATTTTGTTGTTGCTGCAGCTGTGTTTGTTTTTACCATTCTCCTTCAAATGATTTGAGTTGAGATTTTTGTCATCTGCATTGGAAAGAGTTGACTAGCTTAACTCTTTTCTACCTAGAGAGCTGTTTCCCACCCCAGTCTCTGAAAATCCTATTTGGGATTTTAAAATAGACTCTCACACAAGAGGTAGGCCACCTTGACTGTACAGTCATGAGAGCCAGGCTTGAGGGTGGGTGTGCATTAGGCTGAGAGGCACTATGGGTGTAGGAAGGAAGAGCCTGGAATTTAAGCTGAACAGAATTGAGTTCAAATTCTGCTTTTTCATCACATACATTGTCCCTGTTACTTTAAGTAAATTTCCTAACTTATACAAGCTCCAATCTATCTATTATGCAGACTAAAAATTAATATTTCCACCAAACTTGTAAGGCCATTAGGGGGTTGACATAATTATCTATCTGTCTGTATATCTATATCTGTCATCTACATATATTAGATATAAAACATATATTAAAACATGTAGTAGGCATAAAATATGTTAACACATGTCCTAGGTATAAAATACATAACATAAAATTGGTACAAATAAATTGAAGCTATCATTATTAGTTTCCAAGTCCCTTGCCCCTTGAAAGTATCTCTCTCCCTCCATTCCTTCCTCCTTCCCTCCCTTCCTTCTTTCCTTCCATTTAGAATCCACTGATGGACTCTACTAAGAATGAAGGTAAACAGGAAATAGACCAGCCTTTGCAAAGACTAAAACTCAACTTTCATTCAACTCAATCCCTGACTAAATTAAGGTGATCCTCTCTTCTATAACTGATGGTCAGAAGTCAAAATTATTTCTCTATGAAATGTGATAATACTACTCAGATTTTCAAAATAAATATAGACATTTTTTTCATGCACATTGTCTGGCAGTCAGTAAAATATTACCAGCATGCTAGGAGATAGGCCCAGATAACAGAAAATCAAGAGAAATAAGGAACAATAGAAGCAAACCCCCAAAGATCCACGTATTAGAGTTATCAGATACAGACTTTAAAATAACTAGCACTAACATATTATTCAAGAAAATAGATATTTTTGTGTCATCAAGTTCATTAATCTTTCCCTCTTTAATATTTATCAATCCCATTCAGTGTAGTTTTCATCTCAGACATTGTTGTTTTCCCTGTAGAGGTAAAATTTCAGTCTTCTTTTTATCTTTCATGACTCTACTTAACATGTTCAATCTTTCTTCTAGCTACTGAATAGTTTTAATATACTCATCTATTAATAGCTGTCATTTCAGAGTCAGTTTCCATTGTTTGATTTTTATATTATTATGGATATTTTTCTAATTTTTTATATGCCTGGTAATTTTTTATTGGATGCCAGACATTGAAACTTTTACCTTGTTAGGTACTGGATATTTTTGTATGCTTAAG